CCTGGAATGTATATTTACAAAATTATAAAAAATATTTTTATAATTTTATAAATAAATTTATTTTTTAAATAAAAATTTTTTATAAATAAATAATATCAAAAACTGGGAATTAGAGACTTATTCTTTTTAAATGAATACAAAGAAAAATTTTAGAAAAAAAAATTAAAAAAAAAGAATCTTTTTAGATTCTTACAAATTAAATAAAAAGAATCTTTTTAGATTCTTACAAATTAAATAAAAAGAATCTTTTAGATTCTTACAAATTAAATAAAAAGAATCTTTTTAAATCCTTACAAAAATTTAAAAAAAAAAAAATTGATTTTTTCCTTGAATTTTTAAAAAAAAAAAAGATCTATTAAATTAAAAATTTACACTTTTAAATTCATCCAGCTTTAAAAAAAAACAATTTTTTAGATTTTTGGGGAAAAAAAAGAACTTTTTTAGATTCTTGAACAAACAAAAGAACTTTTTATTTTTTAAATTAAATAAAAAAATTTGATAGATTCTTACATTAAATAAAAAATGTCCTTTTTGATTCTTAAAAATTAAATAAAAAGAAAGATTTTTAGAATTTACAAATTAAATAAAAAAAATCCTTTTTTTTTAGAATTAAATAAAAATGATTATTTTATTATTCAAAACAAATTAAATAAAAAGAATCCTTTTAGATTCTTACAAATTTTAAAAAAAAATCCTTTTTTTTTAAAATTAAATAAAAAGAATTGTCAGAATTGATGCTTAAATATGGAATCTTAATGGGATCAGCTAATGTCTTTGAAATTTTCTTTTGATAGGCTCTTCCTATATTTGCAAATATTGGGGCAAAGAACATTTTTCATACCCATAAAAAAAAATAAAACTATTTTGGAGTTGAATGTGATCATTTAGCTGTTATTAATGGTTGCATCATCTTATTGGTTTGCATTTTAATGGGGAAAAAAGAATTTTGAGAATTGAACAACTGTACAAAACAAGTACATTTCATTTATAAATTTTATGATTAGAACATTTTTTGGTTTATTGAACTTTTATGCTCTTACTGCTGAATAAATAATGGAACAGGATAAAAAATTTTTTTTATGAGATGTTAAATTAAACCTAGCCCAAAATTGTTGCTTTTGCAAAATTAATCCCCATTTTTTTATTTTTATTTTTAGCACAATTTTAAAAAAGAATTATGTTTAGTCATCAAAAATCCAAACATTTTAACATGTTAAATTGGGGGGACTGGAATCTTCCAGGGTTCATCCAATATTTGCAACAATATAAAACATGGAACACCCAAGAAACATTCAATTTTATTTTTTATTGGGTTAAAATTCTATTAAAACAATTTTTTTTTAAAAATGTAACATCTAGGACATATACTGAACTATATCACCTTTGGAATATTCTACAGTTTTTGAAAATTCATTTTTGTGCAATTAAGGTCCATTTTTTCAAACAATAAATAAGCTACATTGAAAATGAATTAAAATGGATGTGATACAAAAATTTTCTTTTTGATATATTGTTTACCCAATACAAATTGAAGAGCCATTTAAAGTGTATAATATAGACCAGTTCAGACCTTCAAAGCTACAACCTGCCATGTCATGTATACAGAGTCAACTCATCCTCATTCCATTCATATTCCACTGGAAAGAATTTCCTCTAAGACAGGTTCTTCTCCAGAACTGTTATTTTGTGTAACAGACTCCCAAGAGGATGCTTCCATGACCACTATCTATCTTACATATTCTCATGATATTTACTTCTTACTTCTTCCATTTACATATATAACAACTTAATTCAGTAATCCTCTATGTTGGGTAGCACTTGGGCCCTTTATTAGGTGAACAATAACATAAAAATCCTGGGCAGCACCTAGATGAATGACTGCAAGGAAATGCCAGATGCTCTAAGCTTGGAGGTGTGGGTGGTGTAATGGATAACCCCTTGGAATTGGAAGTTAAGGACCACAGTTCCAATTCCAGTATGTTCATTATATTCATTTACATGTAAATATCCTTATATGATGTCTACCTCATCGGTCTGTTTGGTGTTTGATCCCTATGACTGACTGCCGAATAGATCACTTTGATCTAATCCTTGCCTTCTCCAATGTTGTGTTTGATTTATATCATAAGGCTAGCAAAGATCAAATTGTTGACAGGAATCGTTGAATTGGTTTGCTCTGGACAGAGTGAAGTCACAAGTAAAAAATAAATTGTATATTGTACAGAGCCGGTAGTATAATTATCAGTTCTTCAGGCAGGAATATATATTCTTCATGTGGGAATATATTCGTTATGTAAAGTTATTGACCCTTCCCTCTGTGAATATTTTGTGACACTTCATTTGTCGTGACTAAGTCTAGACGAGGCTTTTGGAACAACTTAAGTTGGAAGTTTCTTCAAGCAGGAAGTCATGTGAGATCAGGTGAAGCGGTCATCTCTCATCCAGTGTTTAGAACAACTGTCGTCTTGGTCACTTCAACTTCCTGCTTATATGGACTTCCGTCCAAAACCAGCATGGGGATTGATATGGTTTGAGATTTCGGTGATTCCCCTAATCTCCACAGAGATTTGTTTGATTCTGGGAAATCAAACAAATCTTAGATTAGGGGAATAGCATGCTTAATTTTGTCGAGATCCTTCCTCCTAGAGTAGTAGTAGCAGAATATCGATCTACCTTAACTCCTTCCTTCTCATATTGGTACCTCATACCAATACTACCAAAGGGGCAGAAGCAATTCCTCCAACCACCTGATATTTCACTTGAGTCCTTCACTTTGGTTGTCATTTTGAGAAATATGGTTTTTAGACTGCGTAGGTGGACAGGCGGGGCTTACTTATAATCATTAATTTTAATTATTGCTCAAAATTTTTATCAACAGGATTCTTCGATCCAAATCCCATTCTCTCAGTCAGACATTTACCAGATGTTCCCATGCCAGCTTTCTTAGCAAGTTTTGGCACTTGGGGCTTGGCTTCTATCCAAAGAAATAACATTTCCTTAGCGACCTATGCTTTCCACCCTTATTTGATAAGTGAAATATAAATCAATTCTCTTAACTTTGCCTTTGCTTTCAGAAAACCTTAAAAATATCAGATCATTTCTAATTGGCAAAATCCCTTGACCTAGCTTCACCCATAAAATCAAAAAATTTACCAGATGGCTTTCAAGTATACAAGGAATCAGAAGCCATCCTTTTCTTCTTGGGTTATAGTCTGCAGGAAATTCTATAACCTGCACTTTAAATAGTAATTATCAATCAGTTTCTACATTTCTTCCACTGACTTGAACGTTCTTACACCAACTCTTCCCCACCATCCATTGTGGGTTTAAATTATCCAGATGGCTTTTTTGGCTCGATTCCTTAAAATAATAAAGCTGTTTTATTTCATGTCAGCCCTATTCACTTTTTTTATGGTTTATTCATGGAAGAACACAAATTTTCTGAATTTTAATAAAATCCTTCATCATCTCTTTGTATGTTTATCTTTTAATGCTTCCAGTGTCTTGTAGTGTCACACCTGGAAAAGGTATGACTCCATCTCTTGTCCCTCCAGCTATGGGTTAATTAGTAGGACTTGTATCATTCTTCTTTTTTATGTGCTGTGTACCCTCAAAACATAGGCGATCATGGCTCTCCACAACTTCTTGTCTTTTATAGCTCTTAATAAATTTTGTCTTTTTGTTATGTCTCCTAAACCCTGACCCACCATCCATTTACTCAAGCTCATTAAATATGTTATACATTGTTTCACTCTGTTTCTCTTGCCTTCAATCTGTCCTGTGAGTAACAGATTTTCTAAGTCCTCTTTCTTTATGTCCTAGAAACTTTAACTGTCTCTCTTTTATGTTAAGTGTAAGTTTCTTTTTTCTCTAAAACCTCATCATTGCTCACGTTTCGTCCATTGTATCATTATTATCTCAAAATAAAATTCTTATAATATAAAAATATTTTCTGGCTTTAAAAGGTTAATAAGCTGTATTTAAAAAAAATTAGAGAAAAAAATTTTTTTAAATATTTTTTTAAAGATTTTGTTAGGTGGAGTGCTTATTTTATAGTAATATATGAAAAATGTTTTGAAAAATAAATGATTAATGTTATTTCAGAGCTGCTCAAAAATGGGGAGTGTGAGAATTTATATTTTGTTTTTGCATCTGTAGGGTGATTAGTTACAATAAATTTACATAGTAAATGGGAGCCTATCTAAAAAAAAATGAAATCTTTAACCATTGTGCCCACAAAAAAACCCAGTTTTTCCCTAGACACTGCTATTATTTTAACTACCTTCACTCTTTGGCAATGAATATTGTCTTAAAAAGCAAGGATTAGAATTGTAATAAAACCAAAATACATGAAAGTGAATTTATACAATTTTTTGTTCTTGAGAACTGACAATAAAAATATTAAATACTATTTATGAGATTGTTTATTTACAAAAATAATTTTATATATTTATTTATTTATAAAAGTTATATTAAAACTAATGCAATGTTATATTTATTATTTACCAATGTAAAAAGAAATAATATGAAAGCAATTTTTTATTCATAAATTTATAAACATTTAATAAATTATTAAAATATGCAAACCAACTATAAGGAAATCATTTTATAATTACTTACCGTTTTATAAAGTTTGAATCAATTGGCAATAAGCCAATGTTTTACCAACCATTCCAATAAACAATATAATAATAAATTGATAAACAATTTTTGTTTTATTTTTTGTTGATAATTTTCAAGAACAAAAAAATGTATAAATTCACTTTTATATGTATAGGTTTTATTAAAATTCTAATCGCTTTTTAAAATAATAACATTGCCAAGGAGTAGAGGTAGTTGAAAATTGTCCAAAATATAATAATAAATTTTAAAAATCCTTGACAAAGAAATTTCATTGGTTTTTAAATCAAACTTGTCTAAATGTAAAAATTCAGCCCAAATACACCCAATATATATATATATATGTAAATAAAATGTAATTTTTTTTTTTTTTTTTGCAGGCATGAATTGGCTGAACCTCTCAAACGGCGAGCCCTAATCATTAAGAAGAAAACCCGTGGACCTCGTATTAGTACCGTGAGTAATGAAGTAATTTCTTTTCTGTCCCCCCCATCCCATCCTATGTTGAAATGAATTTTTAAAAACAAATATTTGATATATTATGTAAAAATTATCCATCTTTTTCTTCTAAACAGAAAATGCTTTCTGATGAGTACAAAACAAGAAGAAACAAAAATGACCATTTCTAAAAATGGGACGCTTCTGGTTTCTTGTTCTTTCCTTCCAGCATACTGTAGTGACAGCACCAACATGGAACCTGTCCCCAAAATGGGGGGGGAAGTTTTCCCCTGATTGAAATTTCTTTCTCAATTTGGTTTTTACAAATAAACACACACACAATTTGACAAAACAGCCTAACAAAAATTTTTTATGTCTTCTTTCTTTTGTTTATATTTAAATACATACTAGTGTATTTTCACTCCTTTGTTACTCTGTTATATAAAAAAAAATACATAAAAATATCACCTTGTTGAAATTTATTTCATTTCCTTGTACTGCTACTAACAATGACAACCTGTCATTTACATGTATAAAACAGATGAAAATTCTGGGACATGTAATAAGAAGGGAAGGCCTGGAGAATCTGATACTCACAGGTTGAATAGAGAGAAAGGGAGACAAAGGAAAGCAATGCATGACATACCTGGCTGGTTTAAGCAAGTGGATGACAGAATGTGGTTTGGGGGAGGTGGCAGAGAGACAAAATTTATTGAGAGCTAGAAGGGATAGGGAGAAGTGGAGAGCCATGATCACCTCTGTCTTGAAGGGACACGGCACATAAAAAAATCTGAAAAAAAAAAAAACAAAAAATCAAAAAATAAAAATCTATTTACTAGTCAAAATTAAAAAATTAAAATACTTAGAATCTGGCCCATTTCAAACCATGTTACTCCAAAATGCTGAATACATTTGCTATATAGATGATTCCACCTCTACCAATAGTAAATTGCTAGATTCAGCAATTAAACTAAGCAAATTCAAAATTATTATTGGATTCATATATGAAAAAGAAACAAATAACACTTTAACATTATGCTAACTATAACTTAAGGTTTAATGTGATATATATGAAATAATCAACAAAAAATTGAAAATAAAGCAAAAGCATAGTTCAAAAAATGCTGAGACATGTATCCACCCCACTGCTTAAAAATCCACGTAAAACACTCACATCCAGTGAAAACACTTGCAAAAAACCTGACACAAGCTTCTGCACCAATATAATTAAACAATCTTTTGTTTTCCCATCTTGCAGGTTACCTCCCTCACCCACAAAAGAAATATTCTTCCATGACCCATACTGGCAATACAGATCATTTAACATACCTTGTGTCTTTATCTTTCTGAATATTTTGTTGTTTCGTTTGTTACTCTTGCAACCATATGCAGTATATAACTGTCATACTATTTGCATATTCTATTATATTTTTCTTTTTTAAATTTAAATGATTGATCTTCTAGGACCTTTAGGGGCATGCTGAAACTTTTACTGGGTACTCATTCTTGATAAAGAGACTATTTTTAGACAATTGAGTGATCTATTTTTAATTACAGAATCCAGAGTCTTCAATCAAGCATTTTGATATATTGGTTAATCAGTTGCTTTGAAAATTGTGCACACTGTGACCATATCATGTTGAAACCTTTTCTTGTATGATCACTGAAGTTAAGTGACATCAAGCCTGATCAGTAACAAGGTGGGTGACCACTTGGAAATACCAGGTGCTGTAAGCTCAAGTGTGTGGGTGGTATAAAGGGCTTACAACCATATCATGTTGAAACCTTTTCTTGTATGATTGCCAAAGTTAAGCAATGTTGAGCCTGATCAGTACCAAGATAGGTGACCACTTGGAAATGCTGAAAGCTTGGATTAGAGGCTGGTGTAATGGATAATGGTTTGGAATTGTTAATCTGAGAGCTGAGTTCCAATTCCATTTGGCTTTGTTATATTAAGCTTATATTATGTGGAAATACTCTTCTCCCTTCAGTTTTAGGTTAATTAGTAAGACTTGTATCACTAAATCATTATCTCAAAAAAAGAAAAGAATTCTTACAATCTAAAAATATTTTCTGGCTTTAAATAACCTGCATAGCTGATAAACTGTAAAAAGTGAATCAATCAATGTGACCACCAGGATTGTTACCCTTGTTTGTTTTTTTGACTGTTTTGTATTTTTTATTTTCTTTTTGCAGGGCCAAATTCGTAGCATTGACCCAATGGTACAGCGTAGAGCTCTTCAGTTAGAAGAATTGGCAATGGGACCAGATTCTGCTGACCTGGCACATACTCTAAATGAACTTGGTGTTCTTTACTATTTACAGAGCAACCAAGAGTAAGTAAGGCGCGGAAATAATTTTCTTGGACCTTTTTCTTTGAAGTGGAAGCAGCAGAAAGGGTTCTCACCATTAGTGTAATAGAACTGAAATGTGCGCAATTTGGATGGTATAAAGTGAATAATTATTTAAAGCTAGTACACTTCAGTGGGTGGGGAGGCATTAATTTTCATTAATGACCTTCCCAATACCATCAGCTATCAACTTGGTATCTATGCTGACAACACAGCCATTTACTCCTGTCTTGATAGTAAGTCTGATCAGTCCGATAAGGTAAAATTGGCAGCTGATGCCAAAATGACCTACAGTCTGTTGTTAACTGGGGGCAAAGAATGGCTTGTTAATTTTAACACCTCCAAAACAAAACTGATATTAATCATCTGAGAACCTTATTTCTGCCTTTTGTTGATGCTAACCTCTAATCAATTTCCTATTGTATGAAAACTGTCTTCATAAAAAGAAAAAAAAATTGCGTAAAACATCATCAATTTCTGGAATATTTACAATTTATTTGCTTTCTTTTGCTTTCCATATTTCAGTCAAGAATTGTTCAATATGGAAAACAAATCAAAATAAGCCTGTATAATTCTAAGAAAATTAGTGTTGTGCAACAAAAAAGTTTAATTATTTGTAGTTTTTGTAATATCAAATTTTATGAAGTTATTTATATTTCAATCTTTTTGATAATTTTTAAGAATTTCCACAAAATGGGTTTTTGTTTGAGGTTTGTTTTATTTTGTTTCTGACAATCAAACTCAATGGGTTATTTAATGCTGCAAAATTTTTGCAAAGTTGGTAAAATTTTATCCACAAATCTGTAAATATTTTGATTTATTTTTGGTACAAAAAAAAAATTGCTGGTAATAGTTAACTATTTGCCCATTAAATATAAATAACAGTTTTATTGTTTAATAAACTCAGGAATGGACCTTAAATACCAGCAATGAAAAAAGTAATTGAATAAACAAAAAATCTTCATGCTAATTAATTTAATTTCTTATTTTGACAAAAAAGCAGAAATGAAACATTTTTCATTATTTTTGTTTATTCAACAATTATTGTTTTTTTTATGAGAAAAAAAAAATTAATGAAAAAAAGTTCCCAACCATATCATGCCAATTGAATAACCCCAAATAAAGAAACTTATCAAAATAGGTGTCTTAGAAAAATAGTTCCAAATTAAAACCATCCTTTTCTTAAAACATTTGTAATGAAATATTCATAAATTGACTTTTTTTTGAAAACTAGTCATCTTATTTAAATGCAAATGCACATATAATGAAGTTTAAACCAAAAAGAATTAAGCAAAAAAAAAAAAAAAAATAAAAATTCAATCCCAAAAAAGAATGTCTTTTTCCCCTTTATTTAAAAAAACAAATATTTTAGATCCCAGAACAAAAGTATCTGAATTTTGTCTTTGTTAAGTGTGCCTATGCAACATAAAAAAAGTTTGAATTAAAAACTTAATTGAGAAACTACTAATAATTCAGTTACAATTTTGCAAATTGAAAAAAAAAATTATTTCCCCCTAGCATTGGAAATTTTTTTTTTTCAAAAAAAATGAATAAATTTTCAGAAAATTCGAAAATTGTTTTTTTTTTTTAGAAACAAAATCATTAAAACTAAATAAACTGAAAAATTTAAAATTTTCATATACCATTGTCATTGCTATGTTGTTAAATCTAATTTTGCCAATTAAAACTGGTTGATTAAAAAGAATAAATCCAAATTAAAAATTAATGGTTTATTTTGTTTTCCACAGATTGAGGAAATTAAAAGAACTGGATGAAGTCATTTTAAAAAAAAAATTATTTAAATTTTTTATAAATCAATTAAAAAAACCAAAAAGAAAAACGGTCTGGAAAATGTTTTTTTAATGACTTGTTCATAAAGAATTCCATCATTATCCAACATTTGCTGCAAACATTTCTATTTGTTTGAAACACACACAAACAAATAAAATAAAATTATCAGATATGTATATAAAGATATGTAAAAATAATAACAGATTATTTGTTTATTTTAAAAAAATATATATTATTTTTATTAAAGAGAAGATCCCAACATAAAAAAGTTTTGGTTATAAAAACATCCAGACAAAAAAAATAAATAGTTAGACACCTTTCAACACATTATACGCGTATATTAATTTTTTTTTTTTTTTTTTTTTTCACACACAAACACATCTATCCAAAACAATTTCAAATTAAATGTCATCCTTTTAAAAAAATTTTCTTTTCCTCAACAAATTTAAATAAAAAATAAAAAAATTAAAAAAAAAAGGAAAATATTATGTAATGTCTTAAGAATTATAAGGAATCTTACAGATAAATTTTTAATTTTGTTTTTTTTGCAGGCAGGAAAGGTTAAATATTGCCAAATGTTTTATAAAATTGATGCATTCTTGCAAGATGAAATAAATTTATTTAATACACACAAAAACCTACCAAATTCACTGATCCTAACATACTCAGCTGGAAAATTTGGCATAATAACTGATTCCATACTGTAAAAAAGATTAAAATAAATACCTAAGTAAAAGAAAGAAAAAACCAAAATTTTTATATATATATATATATATGCGAGCTAGAATAGTATTCACTCCTGTTTGTGGGGTATTACATCCCATAACCTAGATGCATACATACCACAACCTATCTTATCAACATTTGTTTTTGTTTTAAATCATCTTGATAATGTTAAAAGTAAAGCTGAACAACTGTGTAAACTAGAAGTTACAGTTTTTACACTTTGTGGAAAAGAAAAAAAACACTTGTCTGAACACAAGAAAAATTAAATAAAAGCTTAATAGACTGAAAGTTTATTGACAAAAACACAAGGACACACATCTATATATCTCTCTCCCCCATATAGGAATCCCTCAGATAGAAAAGTTTATTAACACCAGGACTATGTGCGTATTCAGTCTGAGGGATCGCCTGAAGATGAATGAAAGCATAATGGTGAGTACACGTGATCAAAATGGAAGGAGTTATGTAATCACCATTAGACTCATCCATTCTTTTTCCAAATCTTCTGCACTGGCCTCCGATTGACAATCAATTTCCCAAGATTGACAGTGAGGTTCTGTATAAATATTTGGGTTTTGCAGCTTCCGGTTCCTCATGCCTACTGGGTTTGTGCAAGGTCCATAAATAAAGATGAGTATGCGTCACAGTTTGGGGTTTAGAAGAAGGTGACCAACCCAGTTTGGGTGCTGGTTGTGACAAAATAAAAGTGCCAATTGGTTCAATTAAAATATTGCAAATAGCGTCAATTTAACAGAAGATCTTCTTTCCAGCCTTTTCCAGGCTTCTTTTCTTCTGAATCTCTATCTCTCTAAATATATTTATATATATATATGTTTACCAAGCATTCTAAACCTGAGAACAAATTATAATATAAAAAAAAGAAACCGAAAAAGAATTTACATGCTAAATTGTTTGTGAGAGAACCCCTTTGATAGAAAAGAACTGTTCTGTTATCTTAAATGTCAATCTTTTAGATGGTTAGATTAACGCCAACTTATGTAAGCTACGGTTCACAGAGTCTAGATACCAAAGAGGAAATCTTTATTAAACAATTATCTAAAAAAAACAATTTATATAAACGGCATAGAGAATTGAATATATAGTGGTGGGACTCCATTGAGACCGAGATGCCAGGTGGGACCCATGAAAAATCTACATGCTGTTAATTTAGTGAATAAACAAATATAGCAGAAACCTTTTGATAGATAAGTTGTTGTATTCAAAGCATGGATGATCAGTAGACTTTGTTCCTTGTGATGTCATCTTGCAGGAAAAATTGTCATGGTGGTAACAGTGAACCCAGCCTCATGATCCAAATAGCAACATTCAATATAATATTTCCATTGAGGATCAGGAAAAACGTTACCAGAAGTCTGTGAGTCACGCGGTTGAGGTTAGACTTGCCTGGTGAAGACAATAAAAAATGTGGGCAGAAAATTAAAAAAGAAGTGTTTTGTTTTGGAGGTCATTGAAATTTTTATTTTCATTTTCTTGCCCCAGTTCCTAGATTGTATGATTAATTATTGTACATAATTCTTTTTTTCTTCTTTGTGTTATGGAACCCTCAGATATATCAACTTAAAACTTTCTCTGAGGAATGTCTTAGCTAATTTAGTATAATTTGTTTGTCCTTGAAAAAAAAGTTACTTTATGTTTGAAATAACAGTTCCTTAATCCATTAAATCAAACTCAATAAAACATGAATTGTTGTTTCTTCTCCCTGTCCTCAATTATCAGATTTTCCAGCCCTCCTTCATGTTGACAGATTTCATTTGTTCATTCTGATGTTAAACATTATTTTCTTTTGTTTCTTTAAGAAAATGACGAATTTTGTTGTTTTGTCACATGTTAAATCCAAAACTATAAAAAAAAATAAATGGTCAGACTGAAATTACGCAAGATTTTTTGAAAATTTTAATTTTTGATTATATGTGAACAGACCAACCAACCTTAAACTGTTAACAAAAAAGCTGTTCCCAAGTTGTTTTGATTTTCTCAAATGGTGATTCTAAATCTGCTTGCAATGCTACTTTAAATAGTTGGCCTCTGCAATCCGAAAAGGTAAAATTTGACACTTGGATTTTTTTTCTGCGTAAGCAAATGATGAGACCAAATTTTTCAAAACAGTGTCAGTGTTTTAAAATTTTAAAAATTTAACACAACACAGAGTCGCTCAGTTAAGAACAATTTACTCTATCTCTGAAAAACTTTCAAGCTTTCCCAAATTTTCTAATTCATATATTTAAATGTCAAACATTTATTTAAAATTGTATAAATATTCAAATAATAAATTTAAAATTTGAAGAAAAATTTGTCGTTTCTAATTTTAACATCGATCAAATTTAACTGATATAAAAATGTGAAAAAAAACATTGGCCCTTTAGAATATAACATTTCAATAATAACCCCTTCTATTTACTTATATTTTTTGTATTTCAATAATTAAATTCTAAAAAATTATTTGTTTTAAAA